GACTTTATCAAGACTTCAAGAACAATTTTACTGGCCCAAGATGAGAGCCGATGTTCTTAAATTTGTTAGGAGTTGTCGTGTTTGTGGAGCTCAGAAATCTTCAAATACTATGCCGTTAGGTAGGATGGGAAGAGAAAAACAAGTTAATATGCCTTTTCAGACAATCGCTTTAGATCTTATGGGTCCTTTTCCTAGATCAAAAAAGGGTCATAAGTGGCTTTTAGTTGTTGGCGATTGGTTTTCGAAGTATGTTCTTCTGTGTCCGTTACGTTCATCAAAATCTCCGTATGTTGTGAAGTATCTTGAGAGTGAAGTTTTCCTTACTTATGGAGTACCTCAATATATAATTTGTGATAATGGTCCTCAGTTTGTTGCTAAAGAGTTCAGAGATTTAGCAAAGAAATATCAAGTTCAGAAGATCTGGTATAATGCTGTGTATTCTCCTCAATGTAACTTTGTTGAGCGAATGAATAAAACAATAGGAACAGCTATTAGAACTTATGTTAAACAACATACAGATTGGGATGTTCACTCTCTAATATTCAGTTTGCTTTAAACACTTCTAAACATGAGGTCACAGGTTTTTCTCCTTCGTTTTTAGTTTTCGGTAGGCATATTCCCATCTCTGGTAATTATTATGGTCAAGTTAAGTTCTCTGAAGATTTTGAAATTATGCCTGGCGATCGCAACTCTTACGCTTCAGAACTCAAAAATCTTTATAGTGTCTTTAGCGAAGTCCGTAAGAAACTTCATGCTGCTTACGAAAGAAAAGTCGTCAGAAAAAGTCGTCACAATATCACACAAGGTGCCTTCATGTTTCCCCCGAGCGATCATGACTATGTCATCTGCATACCCAATGCAGTGTATTCCCGCTAGAGTTAATTCATCTAGTAGTTCATCCACCACCAAGCTCCACAGCAAAGGGGAGGTTACTCCACCTTGTGGAGTTGCTTGCGTTGTTTTAACAGCTACAGTTTTGGTGCCCATCTGAGCCTCTGCTGTTCGTGTTGACAGCATTTCCCAAAACCAGCGAATAATAGTTCTGTTCACCCCTCTTGTTTCTAGAGATCGCCTGACCACCTTATGTGGTATATTGTCAAACGCCCCCGCAATATCCAAGAAGGCACAAATTGCTGTTTCTTTGCTATCCAGACTTGTCTGTATTAGCTCCGTTAATTGGTACAGAGCAGTTTCTGTGGATCTGCCTGTTCTATATGCATGCTGACTATCATGCAGTGGTTTAACCTTTAGATGATTTTCTCCAATATGGTTGTCAACTACTTTCTCCAGCGTTTTTAGTATGAACGATGTGAGACTAATAGGCCTAAATGACTTGGGATTTGTCCAGTCAGTTTTGCCTATTTTGGGTATGAAGATTACTTTTGCTCTTCTCCATGTGGTTGGTATATATCCCATCGCTAGACTGCTTCTTGTAATGCTTAGTAGATGGTGAGTAGCTATTTGCTGACCCTCCTTTAGAAGGGCAGGAAAGATCCCATCCACTCCTGCTGCTTTATAGGGCTGAAAGGTGTCGATCGCCCATTTCAGCTTTTGTTCTGTTACTACTAGCTTGGCCACTTCCCAATCTTCCCTGCAAGGATTGTGAGGTTCAGTGGGAGCTACATAAGTATCAATAGGTATGCTACCTGGAAAGTGTGTATAAAGTAGGAGATTTGCTCTCTCTTCCTCTCCCTCCGTGTAGCTTCCGTCAGATTTCTTAAGTGCCATGATGGGGATAGATCCACTCTTGGCCATAGCTTTGTGTAATCTAGCTGCATCAGGAGTAGAAGTGATGTTTTCGCAAAAGGATCTAAAGTCAGACCGCTTTGCCCTTCTTATCTCCTTCTTATACTCAGTTAATTTCTCGCTGTAGAGCTGCCATTCGCCACTGGATTTAGCTCTATTAAAGAGTCGTCGGACCTCCGATCTAAGTTTGGCCAACTTCTTGTTCCACCAGGGCTTGTTGTTACTTTTTTGCATGCCTTTACTTGCGGGGCAACTAGATTCATATGCATCCAATATTGCACCGCTGACTTCCCTTGCGTACCATTCTAGATGCAGATGGTTTCTGGCCCTACTTGCATCTATACGGTTTAGGTTGTCTATGAGATTGGTGTTATACATGTCCCAGTCTGTTTTTCTTGGATTCCTTCGAGTTTCTGTTTGGGGTGTGATTCCTCCTAATTTGAACTCGATAATTCTGTGATCTGATAGGGAGGGTTCCGTTGAGACCCTCCATTGTTTCACGTAACTGATTACACCAGCACTCCCGATTGTTAAATCTAACACTTCTGCCCGTGTTTTGTGTGGCATGTTTCAACCTACTGTGCGAAATCAGCCTCTGAGCATGAACGTTTATGTGCTTGTTTAATTGATTTTTGTTCAGTCCATAGTCATAAAAACATCTTGTATGTAATATAGAATACTTACAACTTGAACTTACTAGAGTACTATTATTTATATTTTTTAATAGTTTTATTATTTTTTCTTTTTTAAAATTTATGACAGATGTTTACTCATGTTTGTTTATTTATGCATTTTATAAATAGAAAAATTATAGCCATAATATCGCGTATGCTTTCTGTCACGTAATAATCAAATTAATGAGGAAAATGATAGATAACCATCAACTTGACGAATGTCTCTATTTCACATTTTCCAGTAAATTTAACATTCTATATTTAAATCCTTTAGATGGAAGTGGTAATTTACAACGAACATCATGCATTGTTAAGTTTTATACTTGTTTATAATATATTCTTTTATATGCGGACGCTTCAATTAACAAATTATTAATTACAAAAGTAAATTTTATATTCGTTTAAGCAGTTGACACAATAATAAAAAAATGGATACTCCCCGGATATACTACCGTAATTATTTAAGTATATTATTTTACTTTTTATACCATTCAATTAACTTCAGTCAAATATCGAAAATGGAGGCCACGTGTAGTCAATAATTATTAGATTGAATTACTGATGCTATTCATAATGTTTCAAAATCCAATATTAATTAGGTATAGATATACGAAAAAATAACAAAATTAAAATATTTTCTGGTTAAAATCAAAATTGTTCAATACAAGATGATCAGTAGGTGTGTCAAATGATCACGAGGCAGAACAAATATGTTCATAACACACATATATGATTTGAATATGTTCATAACATAATGAGAATATGACTTGTATTTATGAAGGTCTTTAAGTAGTTGTCAGGTGAAAATTAAAGTATGGGCAAGAAAGCTATTGGTGTACTAACAAAAAAAACGTTGCTTGCTTCCGTAGGTGTATGGCAACAAAGCAATGAGATTTTTGAATATCCGGAGTGCGGTAGGCAAATAAAATCACGTATCTTTTGATGCGTGTCGAATACTCGTTCGGCGAGTAATGGCAGTATGTATGTATATGTAGGTTTATAAAAAGCTGAAAAAAAAAACCTTTGAAAGATAACGTGCCGAAACGTGACATAAAAGATAACGTGCGGAGTACGACTCCGCACTTCTTTTCTCTCAAAATTTGACAAAAATACTGGGTAAATAAAATATTACTACGCTTTTTTAGTAATTATATTATTGCTTCATGCTTATAAATCATATTTTTTAATATAAATCAATTCAGTAATAACGGTTCGCCTTGCTGATCGATTAGAGGGATCGAAGTGGCTCATGCCAATAAAAATATTTGTGTTTTCAACAATAACCTCGAAAATATCATCGGCGAAAAAAGGCTCCAGATCTCCATCACATTTTTTTTCCTCTTGCATTTGCCTTTACACCAGGAAGGCATTTGATAATGTTTTCTGCACGAGTTCTTACTTGTATGTTTCCAGGGTGCTTACGCCAGTTTGTCTTTCCATCTTTCCCCGTATAAAATGCAGCAAGCTGCTGTCCCGTTTGTTCGTTTATCAGCAGAATATTCAACTCATCAATGGTCTCAATCGTTAGGTCATCATTGGTGTCGTAATTTTGGATTTCTTCATTGTCACTGGTCAAACTTGCATCGTTGCCATCGGGCTCGACATTGGTATCTACCTCGTCAAAGAGTCGTTGAAGATATTCCTGTTCTTTTGCATAGTCTATAGCGCACTTTAAAATTACATAATTGTGCTCAGTAATCAATCAAACACAAATAAAAAAAGAAGATACTCACCTCAAAAATGTTACAATAAGGATAACCTGCGGAGTGTCACTCCGCAAATGACCAATGTTCGAGAACTAAGCAGTCTTCTAACCTCACTATTTTCGTAACGTCAAATGCAACAGCTACTCAGGCGCAGTACGTCAAACAATGACTAAACAATCCAAGGACAAATAACACCCGAGAGCAAATTGTGACGATGACACCAAACAGTGCCGTGGCACATATTTTTCTTAACCTAGCTGTTTGAAGCAATATTTATATATTTTGATAATTGTTTTGACTACGCCTATGGTGTATCATCCTAATTAATTACGAAAAAAACGTATTAAAATGTTAACAAAAGGTACAAAACTAGTATCGACGTATAACACATATCAAGTACATAAAAATGTTAATAGAAATTGAAGAATAATTATCGAATTCAATAAGAAAACGCTAAAAAGTTGGAGTGGACTGTTTATTTACCTATGAAACGTAACTCCTGGCTCTTTCTTATCGCTGCTGCTTTTACACTTGAAAGGTGAACAACTAATCACCATTGTAATAAAGTTTATACAAAGTTTACTACACACAAACTATTAAAAATCGCTAAAATTGTCGCTGGTGACCAAATGATGACTCATTGTTTGCCACCAAAACAAAAAAAAAGGTCACAAATTCTGCTGCAGCCCGTATAGGGGCGTTACATGTCCTTATATTCTTTAGTCATTGACGTCAAAGTCGGTAAAATTCGTCAAATATCGTGAAAATTCTGAACGCGCGGAGTCATGCTCCGCACGTTATCTCTCGAAGGTTAAGTTTGCATTGTGTCCACGACACATACTATACTATCCTAACCTAACCTGACCTAACTCACCTAGATTAGTTGGACAGAACGTCAGATATCCAAATCTATCGCTAGCAACAAACTCGTTATTTTTCTGGATCTCCTTTACCCCATTCACCATTCTACCGAACACCTCACCGACGTTACCTCCCGGCTGCATACTCATGATCCTCAAATGGTCCTCCTCGCAGATCCACACCAAGAACGACTTCTTAGCGTTAAAATAGATTCCTCTACCAGTGGGCCAGAATCGACACGCGTTCGCCGCTTGCAGAAACCTGGCGTCAGGGAGGATATTTAGATCATCAAGTTACATAAGAAAATATTAGATGAATAACATATTTTTTTCGATTCATTCAATGCTAAATATCGATCTATTTACAGAAAATCATTATACCGTGTATTGCATCATCGTGGAGTATGTTGTCCCCGTTTTATTTTACAGAAAAATGTATTTGAAATTTTTTAAAGAAATTCTTAAAATAAGCAAATTGTTTACGTTATCTTCTACGAATTCCTTTTAGAGTTATAAGTTTAAAAAAATATAAATTAATTGAAAAAATAATCCGGTCCTTGGTAATAACAAACATAATACCACCTTCAAATTCAATTTTTGAAATGAAACTTCCTGAAAAAATGTCGTGACACGACACGCGACACAACAGACGAGAGGAAACTTGGTAAGGATAGCCTACGGTTTCGAATAGATTGGACCAAAGCCAACTTGACCGTGTACGAGACGTCTCACTGTAGCAGTTAGTTTTGACGTAAGAAACGTCAAAAGTTGATGTCGTCCCATCGCGACCAAATTTGGTGGGTAGGCTATGTGAGCGACGGTGCACACGGCCCCACCTTGCATAGGATACGACGTTTCGTTTACGACAAGCATTTTTACATCATCATCAGGGTGGGACTAAGGATTTGATATTGCAGAAAAATGTGAGTCGATTTCGGCATAATTGGAGACGGGCTACAGGATGACGCCCTTGACGTTTCGAACCGATGCCTCTAAATGGACAAAATTATCAGGATTTTTTTAATTATGGGTCGATTGGAATCAAACTCGGCACGTGGATAGAGGTACCCGAATGGAATCATCAGACGGACATACGGACAGATGGATAGATAGATAGACGGACAGACGGTTGGATGGACAGGCAATAAGACAGTCATATCGCTCTTTATTTAAAACTGAATACATTTAAATTTACACTGTCTTTTAATATTAGAAACTGCATGTCTCATGCATAAAAATTCAAAGTCCAAATTCGGAACGTGCGTTCTTTGAGATCCGAAACTTGTGTAATAATTACAGCACTAAAAGGGATCCCGTGACTCTAGAACATAACTTCCCGTGAAAAACTAGAACATAAGTTTTTTATCGAGATCCGAGATCTACCAGCACTGAAAATATTTACACTGATTCAAGACTCACCCTGTATTTCTTTTTTAAATTTTAATATATCTCTTAACTCGCAAACAAGAATACTACCTACCAGTAAAGCCATAAAGGCTCTTATAATATCAAGAAGACTGGAAGGAAGTAGAAGGGGCTACAACCTTAAAATTTTGCGCTGGATGTATAATATCATGATAGTAAGACACATGATTACCTATGGGGCAGTTGCTTGGTACACAAAACTAGAGCAACGTACATCAAGGCAAAACGGGTGGAAATTACAGAGACTGTCATGCATCTACGTCACAGGAGACATCAGAACATGCCCAACGGCAGCAATGGAGGTAATTCTACACCTAACACCACTGCATATTGTCGTCGGTAGATATCCCAATGCTTCAATGATAGAATGGTCATTGACGGGAGCGGTACTGGAAGAATTGTCAGCTCAGGAGCTAAACACTCTCAAAAGGAAAATTCCAATCCTCCAACTCCCAGTGGATGACATAAGAATGTAAAACTTTGAGAAACACCTCACTGTGGTATTTAGCAATACAAAGGATCGAAAGAGAGAAACGTTTGCTCAGCAGGTGAGAGACATACCATAACGTGGTATACTGATGCTTCCAAAACAAAAGCATAGACAGGGATAGGAGTATTTGCGGCGAAAACTAAATACTTTGAACTTAGATAGAAATTATCGGGAACAAGAAATAGCCTACGTATTCGATAGTCAAGCAGTAAAAGCGATCATCTCAGTAACCATCAATTCGAAGTTGGTCAAAGGCTGCCTAGAGAAGCTAAACAAATTCGGCAAATATCGTCTCGTATCCTGCAAGATCTCCTAACTGATTTTAAAGTCGAAATGTCCCATGCTAATTTAACCCCAATAAAAGCATAAAATAAAAATAATGTGAATTATTTAATCTGTCTTGTCAAATAAACAATAATAACAAATATTCATAAAAAACAAAATTAGAAAAACAAATACTTATTTTCTTCCCCTGAGAAGTTACTTCACTCGCTTACTTCAACACTTGCCACTACACACGAGATATTGTAGACACCACACAAGTCGAAATAATAAGTCTTCCTATTCTGGGTGTCAGCCCACCAAGGGATAGAACGCAATGAAAAAGCAATCGATCTAGCTAGAAAAGGAACGAAAAAAAACACTCCACTATCTGGACCAGAACCGTTCTGCTTCCGAAGTGAAAACCAACTTAAAGCGGAACTCTAGAACCAAGAAGAATAGAACTCTAATACCAAGAGACCTGGAATGGGAATCCTCCAACGGTATAAAATACTTGAAGAAATTACTCAGAACTTACGACCGAGAAAAATCAAAGACTTTCCTTGATTTGAGTAAGAACAATTTTCGGATTGTCACTGGTGTTTTAACTGTATCCTCAATGAACATCCCAGTAGATTGAAGCTAAGAAAAAACGGTGAATGCAAATTGTGTGGGGAAAATGGAGAAACACCAGAACACCTCATCACTTAATGCGCCGAGACGACAACCATTCGTGCCATGAAGTTTGGTACAATTATATCGGAAATGGAGAACTAACCTCTGTAAAACCGTCTCAGATACTGGCTTTTGGCAAAGTCCTGAGACTGAAGAAAGGGAGACACAATAGATCTGTAAGGTCGCGGTGATTAACCCACTTCTCATACATTTAGTTTTTATTTCTTTATAGATATTGTTTCTCTGGGGCATGAGATCGGTATTAGAAGGGATAATCAGACCCACGAAATTCTACGAAGAATAGGTTTGTCGTGGGTGGAATTCGGAAAACTAAGGCATATACTGAGATCTGATTTTCCGATATGTTTAAGAAGAAAGATCTTTAATCAGTGTCTTGCCTGTCCTCACATATGGAGTTGAAACACTTACTTTGGCAATTAAGAACATACAAAGAATACAGGTCATGCAACGGAAAATGGAAAGGTCCATGTTGGGAGTTACACTTAGAGATAAAATACCCAATCATACAATACGAAATCGAACAGGAGTAAGAGATGCGGTGATACCTGTCTTACATCTTAAATGGAATTGGGCAGGACATGTAGCTAGGATGACAAATGGACAGTGGACAAAAAGACTTGTGGAATGGAGACCAAGAAACGAGGCCTATAGAAGCAAAGGACGACCTCCTAGTCGGCGGACAGATGATATTAAGAGGGTGGCTGGAAACTGGATTCAAGTGGCACAAAATTGAAAGAAATGGCTAGAGTTAATGGAGGCTTTTGTTCAGCAGTGGACGGTATAAGTTAAATGATATTGATGATGACTGTTTCTCTATTTTTATTTTTGTCTAGGTTTTTATTTGTTTTATTTTTTTGTTAACAGCTTTATTAAAAAGAGGAATCTTAGAACAATAAAGCATTGATTGATTGATTACCTATCACCTTCCTTGAACAGATAATGATCATCTATGAGCTTCTGCTGAACGTCTTTGGGCATTCCAACTAAGGGATTATACGTTCCCTTCAATTCCCCCGATAGATTACTGAAAGTGGGCTGCATCAGGTTCTCTATTTCTTTGTAATGGTCTTCGGTCATGCAGGGATTCAGGGGAAAGCCCTTCAGTGTTCGACAGCAACGCACTCTGGTGGACACTACGAATTGGCCTGTGGGGTCCAGGTTTCCGAAGGCATTGGACGGTCCCCAGTCGGTGGGCGGTTGGCGTGCGCTTGGACTGAAAGTGTGGTATTCTTGGATGATTTGATCAAATAGATCGGCGAATACCGAGTAGCATTCGGGATCGGCGGCGTAAACTCCGATGCCAGAATCCAGATTTTCTAAACCTTAAGAACAAACAATGATATTTTTGTGAATGCAATTTAAGCTGTAATTTTTGGTGTTACAGTAGAAAAATGTAACAAATCAAACGCGTTATTGTAAACTTTTGACACACATTACGCTAATCATAGAAGAAGTGAAGGTATTTTGGAATAGTAGTTACAAAAAATTGTAAAATATTTAAATGTTAATTATTTTGGATAAAATAAATAGCGTGCCATAGTATTAGTATTTAAAGTAATTTAAATGTATTTTTTCACTCATGAAAAAAAAGTGCATAAAATCTCTGTCGACGTGACCATGCACGTAATTTGGAATTATACCAAAATAGCCGCAGATATGTTGTTTATATTAAAAATTCACAGTAGTCACACACATATACATTCCGGTGTCATATCCGATACAGAGTGCACTCATGATTCGCATGTGAGTCACTATTCTTCCCATGTACCGTTCCTTTGATGAAAAAAAACATATAGCTTACTTTATTAGGTTTTTTTATTACCGAGTCTGAACCGTCCTATAACTGTGATACGCAAGCGCAGAAGGAAATATGAAGAAAGTATTGATTGTCTTCTGATTTTTGCCCCTGTTACCATTAGGACAAAGACAAAATTAAGATAAATCTATCGACACCGGACACCCTTATATGTTAAAATCCATCAAGCGGGTTGAGCTAAAGTGCGTGCTAAAAAATTTACATACATTATAGAATCGTAAAGCAGCAAGATAATGTCCAAAATAACATAATTTGGACTATTCCATTATTTGAATCTTTGACAAACTTTTTTATTATTCATATTTTGAGAAAAATGCTTTCTTCATAAAAGTTTTTGCTTGTTCTAAAATTGTTAATCTCGTTTACTTCTTCAAATTTCCATACCGTTTTAGAGAAAACTAAAAAAACATAAATATGGTTGATTTTTATCTTAAAACTCCTAAAAATCAAAACGCGTTTCTATGTTAATATCTTTCCCTTATTATAATCTATACTAATATAAAATCCTTAAGTGACTGAAATACTGATTAATCACGATTCTGCTCAAACCACTCAACGTAAGAAGCTCAATTTTGGCATTGGTTGATTCTAAGGTGTAGAGGTTCGATAAGAAGAGATTTTTCGAAATTCCAGTTCCAAGAGGGTGAGACCACCCCTCAAATATTACAATATTTTTTATTTAAAAAACGGTCAAGTTTCCGAAAAAACGCTTAAACACGTATATTTTATTTTGGTGTTTCAGGGTGTTTCGAAAAATCTGGTCATTGATTAATCACGATCCTGCTTAAAGCGCTAACGTAAAAAGCTGATTTTTGGAAAACAGATTGACTTTAGAGTCTAGAGGTTCGATAAGAAGGGATTTTTCGAAACTCGAATTCTAAGGGGTGAAACTATCCCTCAGATATTAAAATATTTTTTATTTAAAAACCGGTGAGTTTTTCGGAAAAACTCTTAAATACGTATAGTTTATTTTGTTGTTTTACATATTTTAAGATTTTTTATAAATTTATACAGGGTGTTTCATAAAATATGACCATTGAGTAATCACGATTCTGCTTAAACTGCTTGACGTTTAAAGCTGATTTTTAGCAAACGGATTGACTGTGGGGTGTAGAGGTTCGATAAGGAGGGGTTTATCGAATCTCAAATTTCAAGAGGGTGAAAACGTCCCTCAAATATTACAATATTTGTTATTTAAAAAACGGTTAGTCTTTCGGGAAAACGCTTGGACAAGCATAATTTATTTGCTTTTTTTACATATTTTGAATTTTTTTAAAAATCATACAGGGTATTCCAAAAAGTTGGGTAATTTCTTAACCACGATTCTGCTTAAACTGCTTGACGTAAAAAGCTTATTTTTGGCAAACGGATTTTTCGAAAGTCAAATTCCAACGAGATGAAACTACCCCTCGAATATTACCAAGTTATATAATAATATCGTCATATTGTTTTTTCTCATGCTGACATAAATGTGAGAAAATTTTATCCAGTTTGTATGTTAATAGAAATTCTTGCTTTGCTTTATCATCACCATTACAAATGATTAATTCGACGCGAACGAAGTCGCTGGTACACGCTAGTTCCTAATATATTCCTTATTTAATTCTTTGTTAGATGGTTATTATTAATTTTTGATTAATGTCATATTCTTTCCGTAGCATTGAACTAAATAAATTGTGTGCTTGTTTAACATTTTAAAACAACAAAAAACATTACATTAATTAAAATTCTATGAATGACATACTGTATATTATATCTATGACATACTGTATATTAGTGATGGGCAGTACGAATATTACGATTCTTTTTAATGAATCGAATCACACGATTTAATTTCTCATATTGAATCAACTGCTATGATTTGTTCAATTGAACGAATTATATATGCACAATTTACGTTTCATAAAAACAAGAATCGTAACTGATGGCACTATCGGTGATAATTTAGTCGGCCAATTACTTAAGGGGCCAAAAGGAAATATACAGTTCTTTCGTTTGCTTTTCAACACTTTATGGCACTTATGGAATGAAACTTTATAGAATGATTTACCAATAATAATAAATTATTAATCCAATTCATATATAGATACTGTATTTATTAAATACTTCTTAATACCAATTTAATATTTTTTAGGCACATTTTAATTACGATTTAATAATCATATAATAAATAATATATAATACAGCATAATCGAACAAAAATCAGTGCATTCAGTCGGCTAGGAACGAGGCTAGGAAATGAACATCGATGACATTCCTCATATAATTTTACATATAAAAAATGACAGCGATCTTCATTTCATAACCATCACTGACGCCGTTTTTTTTTAAATAGCAGAGGCCAACAATATTTATATAGAGCTGCATAAAGATTCGATTTCGCCTTTTAATCCGACATTTAATGGCTTATAGTCGGTAAATAAGTATTATTTTAATAAAAATATTAACGTGAAAATTAAATGCATTACAGATACTCCCGTACTAAGCACAGTATAAATACATTTTTCTTGTAAATAACTGTATTATCATTTGCATTTTATGCCTATATTATGTTTGTTTAGGGCTTTTGTTCAAATCTAAATATTGGTGTCCGACTCTCTCAATAGTCTCTATGTAACCACCGGGCCGTAGAAACGAACTAGTCCCATTCAATTCTAGTGATCCGATTCAATTCTCACGACTCTTTTTTACGGCTCATCGTTCAAATTTTATTGATCCGTGCTGGCCACGATTCAATTGAACAAACCATATTGTAAACAATGAATTAATTCTCACGACTCTTTGAAAAAAACGATGCGTTGAAACGAACGATCGCATTGGGATACGATTCAATTCTCTCGAATCTTTTTTACGGCTCATCGTTCAAATTTTATGGATCCGTGCTGGTCACGATTCAATTGAACGAACCGTATTCTAAACGGTGAATCGAATCTCACGATTCATTTTTAATACTCGTTCAAATGAACGACTCGTTCAATATTTGCTCACCTCTACTATACAGGGTAGCCCAACAAAAACGTTCCGCAAGGCATAACGGTCAGGATATTTTTTTTAAATCCAAAAACACGTCAATTTTGTTTGTGAGGGGGACAACTTTTACCCCAAAAATGATTGCAAAATCTTCCACCCTCTAAGCGGGGGTGTCATCCCCCAACTTTTTTTAAATGGGAAGGGGGGTCAAGTGGCACCGCAATGAAAAGAGCTTTCTATTCTCTATATTTCCCCGCTTCGTTTTTGAAAATCGGTTGAGTCATTGAGAAAATATGAAGGATTGAAATTTGAAAAGTTTATTTAAACATTTATCAGAGTAAATGATAAGGATAAATTCCTTCGACCAATTTGCTGTTTTTTCTTATTATTTCTAGATGTTTACGTATTTTTTCACTTGCCACAAGGTTGAACGATCAGGTGCGGTAGTTGCTAGATAGCTGTTCTGTGTCTTATGCGTTGATGAAGTTCTTCTCAATATCGTTAAACTGACCCACAATAGAATTTCAAAAAATACCAGCCCATACGTTCAATTTCTGAGGATTTTGTGTGTGAACCTCGTGAAAAACCCTTGGGTTATCCTCAGCCCAGTACCGACAGTTTTGCCGATTAACTACACCGTTCAAAAAGAAGGTACACTCATCCGAAAAACACACATTAAATAGAAAATTATTATCATTCGCCACTCGTTCACTCATAGTTTCACAAAATGGCAAGCGACGATCAAAATCGTCTTCGTTGAGTGCTTGTACCAACTTAATTTTGTACGGGTGGAACTTGTGTTTTTTTAATATCCTTTGGACACTTGTACGATTCACGTCGGCTAATTTTGCATTGGCTAATTTTCTTGTACTCAGAGTACTATTATGGCAACTTGGCCTAATACGAATACCTCCATAGCTTCATTTACTACAGGATTTTCCCTCTGCCTCTTTTTATTCATAACGGAACCAGTTTTGCGAAATTTTGCTACTAACTCGCGAACAATTTTGCCATAAAGGTGTTTGTCAGGATGACATTCATTGAATATCTGTGGAACTCGATTGCCACATTCATTATTTTTAAAATAAAGTTTGATTATTTCGACTTTTTCTGCAAGTGACTACACAACAATTGTTAAAAAGTTTAACGATATTGAGAAGAACTTCAACGCACTAGTCACAGAGCAGCTATCTAGCAACTACCGCACCTGATCGTTCAACCTTGTGGCAAGTGAAAAAATACGTAAACATCTAGAAATAATAAGAAAAAACAGCAAATTGGTTGAAGGAATTTATCCTTATCATTTACTCTGATAAATGTTTAAATAAACTTTTTAAATTTCAATCCTTCATATTTTCTCAATCACTCGACCGATTTTCAAAAACGAAGCGGGAAAGTATAGAGAATAGAAAGCTCTTTTCATTGCGGCGCCACTTGACCCCCTTCCCATTTGAAAAAAGTTGGGGGCTTAGAGCGTTGAAGATTTTGCAATCATTTTTGGGGCAAAAGTTGTCCTACAAACAAAATTGACGTGTTTCTGAATTTTCTGAAAAAAAAAGTTTCCCTGGCCGTTAAGCTTTGCGGAACGTTTTTGATGGGCCACCCTATATATGCATTAACATATCAAAAAAAAATACATTTAACGAATTAAAATATAAACCAATATACAATAATACAATATACTTAACTGCGCAATGAAGACTCAATCAAAGTTAATTTAAATCAATAATCAGGGAAATGATTGCCGATTTAATCTCCACTAAAAAAGTTTTTGTCACGTGACTATTAATCAAATTCGTTCAAATATTTTTGCTCTGTACTATAAATTTAAATAACTACAAAATTTGTTGTTCACTAAATACAAGCCGAACTAGTAGTATATACCATATTTAAACAGATAGGGCCACCCATAGCTTCAATATGTGAGTATTCCAAATTACCAACAGTATTCCGAATTACCCTCATTTCCTTTAATATCATATGATCGAAAAACCGCGTCCAGTTGGCTTGGAAATAAACATCAAACACATTCCCTATATAATTTTACACTTTATTTTACATATAAAATGACAACGATCTTCATTTCATAGCCATCGCTGACGTTCTTTTTCGATCATACGGTATGTCCTTAGCAGATGAGTAAATTTGAACTGTATAATCTGCTGAAGATGTTTAAAAACTCTTGTTTTACACATAAAATACAATTTTAGCAATACAAAGCTTCAGGTAATATTAAAATTTTACATAGTTTGGATGTATAAGATACCATTAGCAGAGATGTACAAGATATCTGATAAAAAAGTCTGAAATACAAATTACAAAAGATACTTCTAAGCAAAATTATTGGGATATCAGTTACAAAAATACCTTTGAAAAAAAGGTATTTGAAATACTAGACATAAAATACGTATTTTCTAAATACTTTTATAAATACCTACTTTTTTAAAGAAACGTAATAATGTAAATGAACGCAATTAAATAATGTAAAAATGGAAATAATTAATTTTAATGTGAAGCGCATCTCATTAAAATATATTAGATATCATTTTCCGTTTTAGTAATTTTTTTTAATTTTTTAATTATTAATATAAAATATATCTCAATACCTGACTGTATGCAATCTAACAGCGTAGACCCAAAGCTAGTTTTCTTAAATTTTAACTTATCAAACATCTCCTTTATTAAAAATCTCTTTAACATGGAAGGAGAATCGGATTTGAATAGTTTTTCGTATCCCAGTTCCAATTGACTTAATACTTCGGGACTAGCCTTGCCTTTTCCGCATTTTTCTTCGCATTTTTTGCATTTTCCTTTTGACATCTCGCACAATAATTTTGTAATATACAATCTAAAATTGAATTTTTTAAAACTGTCATATTGAACTTTACCTGTGTCACTATAATGTCGTCTATATTTTTAAAGATAAAAATCAAAAGTAGAAAGAATAAACGTTAAAACGTTAACATTTAATTATATAAATAATTTCAAAAACATTATGGAATTTTATAATAATGGTACCTGATTTTCCCCAAAATATTTAAATTAGCTAATTGACTGGTTGCCTAAGGTTTCTGCTGGAAAATTAATTTAGAACTAAATTCTAACCTAAGAATTTGCGCTCTGTAAACGAATGATTTTCGTATCGAAGTAGTTATTGTGAAATTATTATATATTTATTTTATTTAAATTATGAATCCAAACGATGCAAGGGAACGTACAACGCCGTTTCCTGGACCAGATGCCCGTAATAAACCACAACCGGTAATATGTAAATAAACACAAATTCTAAATCCATTATTCAATTTCATAATTTTAGTACAAATTCACCCCCGATGAGATTAGAGTGTTAAGAGAATGTAATAAGGAAAGTTTTTACCAAAGATGTATTCCATTTAGTATATTACTAGGTGGAGGCACGTATTTCGGTGTCAAAACAGGTAATTTCAAATTATATATTAAAATTATCAAATAATTCACTAAATCTTGATTTAACAGGTAGATTTGCACCACATCCAAGATTTGGTGCTTACCCCAAAGTTACCGTTGCTGCTCTGATAGGATATTTTTTGGGAAAATTCTCATATCATCAAAAGTGTACTGAGAAATTCATGTCCTTACCTAATAGCCAAATAGGACGAATGTTAAAAGCTCGTAAAGAGGGAACTCTTCAAGAAAAGTTTGATTACTTTATGCTGATTAGATTTTATATAATATAATGATTTTTTTAGTTTAGAATCAGGTTATACACCTGCAATATCCCTAAGTCCCTTTAGTGGTATGTCTGAAACTTACACTGACATCTCACCACCTAATAGAGATTTTGATTATGATACCAGGCCGCCACCTGAAGGTTTAGATGATTCTTTTCGGCCATCAGTAGACAGTAAGTTATAATAAGCAAAAATTACCATTTGACTTGTATATTAATCAATTTTAATTAAATATTAGATCCAATTGTAATTCGTGAAGAGGAAATGCCACCTGAACAAAAACATGAGACAACATACGAAGAACTGAGAAAGAAAAATCGCGAAGAGTATGAACAAAGGAGGATTCTGAATGCTAGGTATTAGTTAAAAATGGTTTGCTTTTGAATTGTATTTTTACGTATTGAAATTTTAGAGATCCCTCTAGGACTGCCTCTCCGCAACCAAGCCAAAGGCCACCATTAAGAAATGAGGATGTAAATGAGGAGTCCAAAAAGGCTTCGGGGCTTAAAAATAAATATGGGGACGTATGGGGTTGAGAAAAGAAAATAAAATAAATGTTAATGTGCATTTTGTAAAGTAATAGTGATGATTGTAAGAGTATGAAGTTCTGAACTGCTTATACAAATATATACATATATTGTTCTTAAATAGAAGATAATAAAGTTTCTAGTAGTAATATTTCTTTGTTTTTTTTTTATGAAACTACCTGGAAGTGTTTATTGGTCTGAAAAGAGCACAATCTATAATGCAAATTTATATATACTTCATAACTGATATTCTCGATATTTTTAGGATCTAAGCATGCTATTGTAGAAAGATTTATTTTAGCTCTAATAATCTATATTAGGGTGGCTGCAATGACGTCCCGTAAAGCTGCTCCAAGAGCTGCTGTTAGAATAACAATTGGTTTTTATATACAGGACTCTGATACAGGGTTGTTCACCACATACACGGAGTATTGTAGCTAAACAATTAGATTTTTACAAATTTTAAGTTTTGGGTTCGTTCAAGGACTATTAGAGCTGCAATTTAAAAATATTGTTACAAGATACAGAGTGTTCCAAATAAATAAAAAATATCAAAGTTGTATTTTTTAAATGGAACATCCTGTATATTATTACATTTTAGATTCTACGATTAAAATAAAGGTAAATTTGATTAAGGTTTATCACACTTAAACCTTATCGTTTTGAAGTATTTTCAATTTTATGAAATTGCAGCAAAAATTTTAAGGCTTCATTTCTCCAAGGGGGTCAAAGTTTTTAATACTAAATATTTACTGAAGTTTATTTATCGACAAGTTATTGTGTTGCAGTAATACAAAAATAATACTACGTCATACAGAGTGTCTAAAATTTTATTTTAAATAATTTCTAGCTTTAAACGGCAATAACTTCTTTAATTTAAACACCCTGTATATTAACCTCTTTAATTTAAACACCCTGTAATAGAACACCCTGTATATTTTAGGAGAATCAAATGCATAATTTAATTGTTCATCAAATTGTATTATACCATTTTTTACCTATCCTTTTAAGTTTTCGTAGAAAACGCATTTTCTTATAATTTAGACCTCATTTATCAATATACCCATGGAATCTTTACATTTTAGATTGTTTTTAAAGCAACAAATGTACAAAATGTACAGGTGCTAAAAACGATGATATTACTAGCCCATTTGTATACAAAAGAAAATTATTTAAATCTTTATAAAAGAGTACACCATTAATTAAATATATCTACCACCATTATTTCCGCCTAAATATCAATTAATTACATACTTAATTGTGTTAGTTCATAAATTATTCTAAATAAATGTGGATTTGAAATCAATATAATAATAAGTTATGAAAATGAACGTTGTTATAAATAAGCATTCGTCAAAAAATGAAATAAAATTTTTAAGGTGTTACTTTTTATCGCGCTGTCTAATACACTTACAAAATCCAGTTTTTTAGTGTTTGGAGCAATTATTATCAATAGGCGCAAACTGTCAATTAATGCAGTTTGAATGCTAAAATCATATTAAATTTCTCTTTTAACAAAAAATACCTATTTAAACAGTTTTTTTTATTTTTTAATGAAATAAACGAACTATATCGACAATATTAGTATCTGTACTCTTTAAAAATTCGTTACGTCTTTAAAATACGTCTTAAATAATCTAAAATGTCAATATTCCATGGGTATA